TCCTACCTCAGCTTTCCAAGTACTGGGATTACAGGTGTGAACTATGACATCTGGCTATTATTTTTGTGGTCAAATATATTAATTTGTTAGCCTCTTTTTCCTGGAGACCTTTGTCCTTCTGAACTCTAATCATCCATCTAGATTGGCTACTTTCTAAGCTTAGCACTCCCTTATCATTTTGTAACAACTCACTCCCTTCTGGGTGATTTTGTTCCTGCATCCACTTTCTCTTTTTTTAGTTTACTCCCTTAATTTTCAAAATAATTAATTTCTTTTTAGTTAGCTGTCTTAAAAAAAACAAAGTGTAGGCCATTAAAAATTTTTTATTTGTACAAGTGTTGAATGCCAGTTTGTTTACTGGTATATGTGTAATGCCGTTGAAGGCTGGAAGAGGATGGCACATACAAAGCAAGTACTCTTATCATTGGGTCACACCCTGAGTCTTGAAATATTCCTTATTTAGTGATTTGTTATTTGAGATTTTATCTTGGATGATATTAAACATATTTCTATAATGGGCTGCTTTTCTCTCTTAAGGTTTTGTTTTGTTTTTAACTATATCTTCTGTATGGGTTTGTGCATTAGTTGAGGTGCCTGTGGAGGCCAGAGGTGTCTGTCAGATGTCCGAGCTGCCCAACATAGGTAACTGAACTCAGGTCCTTTCTAAGAGCAGTACAGGCTCTTAACCCACTGAGCCATCTCTCCAGCCCTTTTTGTAATGCTGGTTTTCTAAATTAACCTCTGACTCAATCAGCTCTTGTTTCACTGCAGTAAGAACTCTGCTGAGTCATCCTCTAGTTAGAAACAGTACTCAGGACTTCACTGGGTAGCTAGTAATAGTTTTAAGAAAAAATTATTTCCCATTCTCTTCTGTTGGTATCAGGGGGTTTTGTTTTTGTTCTGTCTGAGACAGGGTCCTATTCTTAAACCCAGGCTAGTCTGAAACCCACAGTCCTGCCTCAGCCTGGTGGGGTTTTCCTCACCGTTACTCCTACTCCTTTGAGACGGGTCTCTCATTGAACCTGAATCTTTGTTTCTAGCTAGGCTGTCCAGCCAGTGAGCTCCCAGGATCACCTGTTTGCCTCAGTGCTAGCTAGGCTTACAGGCTTGCAAGGCTGTGCCTGGCTTTTACTGGGATGCTCAGGATTCCAACTCGGGTCCTCATGCTTGCACAGCAATTGCTCTTACCTACTGAGCATCCCCTCAGCCTCTTGAGAGTTGGAATTAGAGACATGAACTACTATACCCTGCTTCCACTTAATTTATAAAGAATAATTTCTCCTTTTAAAAGGTAATTTAAAGCCAGGCGTGGTGGCACACACCTGTAGTCCCAGCACTTGGGAGGCAGAGGCAGGTGGATCTCTGTGAGTTCAAGGCCAGCCTGGTCTACATAGAGAGTTCCAGGCCAGCTGGGGCTACAGGGAGACCCTGCTTCAAAAAAAAGGGGGAACAATTTAAATGATAAATTTTGTTAAGAATCTGTTTTTTGGTTTTTGTTTTTTTCTTTTTGAGACAGGGTCTCCCTGTAGCCCCACCTGCCTGGAACTCACTATGTAGACCAGGCTGGCCTTGAACTCAAAGAGATCCGCTTGCCTCTGGGATTAAAGGCGTGGGCCACCATGCCTGGCCAATGATCAGCCTTAATGTGTTTTAGGTTTTTTTGTAGCTGAGTCTACTACCTATTTCCATAGTTTCCCATATGTAGACATAATAGATACTGACTGTGAAACTGTAATTTTGTTGGCAAAATTCTTCTGAATATTGGAGTAATTAAGATGAGAAATAAGTATGGGTATTCATAAGTAATTTAATCTGTTCTTACTGCTCAGAATTTCTGGAATTTTAAAAGTTAAAAATTTGAAAGATAGCAAGTATTTCAAAAATACTGTAGGTTCAACAGAGCTATAGGTTATATCTGGGCAAGGAGCACTAAATCAACTTGATGTCATTTGCCAATCCTGATGTCATTTACCAATGATTTTTAGTAGCAGCAACCATTTGAAATCTTCCTTACCTAATTCTTGCTGTGTAAGTTACTAAACTTAGTTCTTAGTGACTGAAAGTGTTTATTTGAAGTCAAGTAAGTGAAACTTTTAAAAAAATTATTCTTCTAAAATCATAAATTTTGTGTAAGGTTACTCCCACTTGGATTAGAATTCTGGGTGTGTATTTTTTAATTTTTAAAAAATTATTTATTTATTTATTTATTGGTCTTTTTGAGACAGGGTCTCCCTATAGCCCCAGCTGTCTTGGAACTCACTATGTAGACCAGGCTGGCCTGGAACTCACAGAGATCCACCTGTCTCTACCTCCTGAGTGCTGGGATTAAAGGCATGCGCCGCCACACCTGGCTTATTTTATTATTTTATGTGTATGAGTGTATTGCTTACATGTAAGTGCATTCGTGTCATGCAGTGCCTGCAGAGGACAGAAGAGGGCGTCAGATCCCCTGGAACTGGAGTTAGGGATGATTGTTAGCCGTCATGTGGGTGCTGGGATTCAAGCCAAGCAGCCAGTGTTCTTAGCTGCTGAGTTGCTGAGCCATCTCTCCAGCCCCCTGGGTTTCTCTATTTTGAACTACTGATTAGGTACCTAAGTTTGGTCTCCTCTTTTTTTCATAGATGTGGTGGTACAGTGGGAGCTATCCTGACATGTCCACTGGAAGTTGTCAAAACTCGACTGCAGTCATCTTCTGTGACACTTTATATCTCTGAAGTACAGCTGAACACCATGGCTGGAGCCAGTGTCAACCGAGTCATGTCTCCTGGACCTCTTCATTGCCTAAAGTGAGAGCAAAGCATTTATGTGGTTTTTGTTGTTTCTGTTTTTTGTTTTTTTCTTGTATGTGTGGGTGTTTGTCTTAGTGATTCCTACATGTTTATTTGGCCACATTTTAAAAGGTTCTTTAAAAAATAAATGACAAGTTATCATGTTTATTAGTGGTGATAATCTGATGGAGTAGAACAGTTATAAAGATTATATAAAATATATTATTTTCAAATTGTATATATATATAGAATATTTCTATATTTATCCAATTGATTTCTCAAGCTCTTATGGTTATTTTGTTTTCAATTATTGATTCATTTAGTTTGAAATGAAGTAGTGTTGATATGTTGCAAAATTTATACAGGTAATCAGACTGGCAGTCTGTTTTTATATATATTTACATATTATAACCTAAATAGCTGCAACTTGGTAAGTTACACCAATTTTAAAATGCTATTCCCTGTGTGTTTGACATTTGCTGATAATTTGAAAATGACTTGCGTGCATATATTACTAGACTTCATTAAGTTGCTATTTCAAAATATTAATAAAATGAGTTTTTACATGAACTGAATGCCTATGTGTCTGCCTTATCAGCTCACTTGACTTAAATCTATTTGAACTTAGTTCAATAGTGTTTATTTTCTAGTAGCAAATAAACTCATCCAGTGTGTTTAACTTTTGCTACCAAAGGATTGCATCACACTTTTTTTTGGTTGCCTAAGTACATGAAAGGTAAATACAGTTGTCATCAATTTCTAGTTTAATGTCATAATTGCAGGGGGGCTGGAGAGATGGCTCTGTGGTTAAGAGTACTTGCTGTTCTTGGCAGAAACTCAGAGTTCATTCCCAGCACTCACATGGGGCAGCTTACAACTGTCTAAAATTCCAGTTCCAGGAGATCTGACACCCCATTCTGGCCTTGGGACACCTGTACATGCTTACGCAGGCACACATAACTAGAAGAGTACTTTATCCGATTAATGAAGAAAATGTCTTCTGGTACTACTACTGATCAGGTCTCCTTAAAATTCTTCCTTGTATCTTAGATAAATTTTTGTTCTGTTTCTTAGTAATTTTGCTTTAGCCCATTTGGGTTTTCTTTTGGTGTCTTTGGTTTTTCTTTTGAGACAAGGTCTTACTATGTGACATGGAGTTCACAGAGATCTTCGTATCTCTGCTTCCTGAATGCTGAGATTAAAGACGTGTGTCACCATTTTCTCCCAGTCTTCTTGGTGCACCCCCCTCCCTTTTTTTTTTGTCTTTTTTTTTTTTTTTTTGTCCTTTTGAGACAGGGTCTCCCTGTAGCCCCAGCCGACCTGGCACTCATTATGTAGACCAGGCTGGCCTCAACTCACAGAGTTCACCTGCCTCTGCCTCCCAAGTGCCTGGTGTCAAAGGCATCCACCACGTCCAGCTTCATGCCCTCTTTTTAAGCTCTTTATACATTATTTAATATTTACAGTATCTAATAACCCAGTTGTGTTTTTGGTTTTTGCTTATTTTATTCTGAAAGTAGGATACTAAAAGTTACTTTGGTAAATACTTGTTGGACTTCATAGTGAAAAGTCTGGCCCATCAGCTCAGGACTTTTATTTAACCATTAAACTTAAGGGGTTTTTTTGTTTGTTTTGTTTTGTTTTTTCTTGTCTCTGTTCCTTCTCACCTCTAGAACTACGTAATCTCAGAAAACCTTTTGTGTTTTAGACAAGTCTCTCCATTTTTCTTCTGGAGATAAATGGTTCTATCTTGCATAATACTTTGCATATTAACTATTAAATTGCTTGTTTCAATATACCTTTTTTTTTTTCCCAAAACTAGTCAGAAGATTTCTCAGTGTTGGGGGCTGTACTTTTTCCTTTCTATCTCTTTAGCTATAAAAATCTCTCCCCTTTTACAGTAAGTACTCTGTATAATGTTAACTGAATGGAGGGAGAAGTATCCATTCTAGTAACTGTAGGGTGTTAGGGTGATAGATTTTTGCTATAGCCTTTCACTAGAATGGTTAGGTGACATCATTCTTGCAGAACTGAGTATTATCCAGTATTGAGTAAAGACTTGGATGGTAGTATTTGCCTACTATGTACGAGACTGAGTCTCATCCCCAGCACTGAACAAAACCTCCTTAAAGTTAGGAAGAAACTACATTTCTGAGTAGGAATTTGCTGATAACAAATAATAAAAAGATTAAAGATGAGTGTAGCATAATTACATGCGAACCAATGTCAGAATTGATATACTGACATGCTTTTGAGGTGGGATCTCACTGTGCCTCAGCCTGACTTGGAAATCACGCAGAAGCCCAAATTGGTCTCAAACTCATGGTGATCCTCCTCTCTCAGCTTCTTGAGTGTTAGAGTTATAGATGTGAGCCACCATGCCTAGCTAAAACCTGAATTTTTTAAAAAAATTGAGCGAGCGAGCGAGCGAGAGAGAGAGAGAGAGAGAGAGAGAGAGAGAGGTAGGTGTGTAGGTGTGGTGGTCAGAGAACAACGTTGTGGAATCAGTTCTCTCCTTCCATTTCTAGGTGGGTCCCGGGTATGAAGCTCAGGTTCTCAGGCTTGCATGGCAAGCACCTTTACCTGCTAAGCCACCTTGCCGCCACTTCTTACCTTTCAGAAGACTCTTAACAGCCTTTCTCCTATGCCATCAAAAAAATGATTTATATCAGTAAGGAAAATGGGCCAGAAAGATAACATAATCTAAGCAAGAGATTTGAACTTGGCTTTGCTATAGAATGTTAATAAAGTACCACACATTGAAGAAGTATTTCTAATTTTTTTTCTCTTTTCAGGGTGATCTTGGAAAAAGAGGGTCCTCGCTCCTTATTTAGAGGATTAGGCCCCAATTTAGTGGGGGTGGCTCCCTCCAGGTAAAAAATAAATAAGGCTAAGTAAAATTATGGCAGTTTTTACTTCAAGGCATCTAGATACAATCATCAACAGATAGAACTTAAATTTATAAACAAAGCTTTCAATGTTTATGGAAAATGAAGGTATTTTCTTAAGAATTTCAGATGCCAATCAGAAGAATACATAGAAAAGCTCAGTACTGAAGACTTAACAGAAATTCATGGTACTGTGAATGCCAGGAAATGTTTCATAATGTAAAGGAGAAGGTATAATGCTTGCTCAGGGAAAATGAAGTATGTATAATTATAAAATAACTGTAAGTTTAAGAAAAACTGGATTTATAGCATTTCAAAGGTTCAAATTCTATGGATGAACCTGAGATTTGGGAGGGGGGTGGTACATTCAAAACTGAAAATGGTGAGAATAACATGTCTTTAAACGGATTTGAATAGGAACTATTAAATTAGTAATGCTTACACAATAAATTTGTAGCGCTCCTCCTGGGAGGTGCTTATATTCTCCTTTAACCTTAGGAATTAGAGGAATTTGAAGCTATGGGAAAGCCAGAATGTTTACATAGGCCAAAAGCAATAAAATATGTTTTGTTGTTCATGATAATTTGTTTTGTTTTGTTTTGTTTTAATTCTTCTGGGCTCACTATGTAGCCCTGGC